GCAGCAGTGATTTCATTAGTAAAATTTTGAGTAATTCCGGCCAAAATTTTTGATCGTCGCTCTTAGCCAATCAAAATTGAGGATCATCCGCGCATTTTTGTGCGGCAGCTAGGTTCAATGATCAGGTCCTTAAAAGACCAAATAAGAATTAATTTTTAACTGGTCTCGTGGTTAATTGATCTAAGTGCGCCGAATTAGGCATATTTTTAATAAATTTAATTAAGATTAGACGATATCTCGGGATTTACCGATTGTAATCGTATGACTTTGGCACCATTCGATTCGTCTCGATGAGATGAATCGAATGGTAATGGTACCAAAATCATGTGATTACAATTGGTAAATCCCGAGATAATATCATTAATCGATATATCGTGAGACCCGAAAAGTGGTTAAGCTGGGTCCGGAACGATACACTATATAACGTGACTACGGGCTACGAGGATGATCATTTCATAAATTGCATATCGATCGACAGACATGTCCACCCCTGTAAAGGGCAACTATATATCAATAGTAAGTAAAAATGATCTTCGTAGCCGATTTTACTATAAAATTAAAGCAGTGAATTTTTTCTCGATATAGAAAAATTATAATTATTACAAAGAAATATAAATTATTTTTAAGTAAATTTATTTTTGAGATGTTAGAAAATGTTATATTCAAAATTATATCATGTTTCGAGCTTTAGGTTTTAGTCCAACTTCGCACAAATTCTGAACACATCTACCCTTGTAAAAAGCAAATATCAGATGATCGTAAATATCATATGTGCAAAAAGTTAATATGCATATACGTATGTACATTACGTACTAGTAATGACCCATTCGTGTTTAGTATTTAATGTATGCCTGATTTTTTATCGTTATTGTATGCATGTAGATATGATATTTTAATGTTTGAATTTTTACTTCAACAAATTTTGGGATTCATCTTTTTCAGTTACTTTTGTCAGACATTTAAAGTATGAAGAAATATTTTAATTTTGTGCATATCTTAAACATGTAAGACTAAATATCGATGTCAACACTTTTAAACTAAATTAATTAGTAAAGAAAGTTCTTATATAGCCACCTACAAAGTAAATATGAATAGCCATCTATCAAGTATATATGAATAGCCACCTACTAAGTAAATATGGTCAGCAAACTATACATTTTAGATAATATATAATTGTTTAAAAAACAAACTTCTAATCATTTGCTATTTCAATCAGATTTCATATACTATCTGAAGTAAAAAATAATAATAATAATAATAAAATACAAATAATAAAATAAATAAATAAATAAAACATTATAATTGCTAGAATTGTATTCACAATGAATCTATTTATTATTGAAAATAAGGAATATTCAAGGTTTTTAGATGAAGAAAGTGAACTATATAAGGATCTGAATTATGATTGTACTCTTTTAGATAATAGTCATTCTGATGTACAATCTGAATTTTTTTGTAACTCAACTACTACAAATGTGATAAATATTATTAGTTTAGTTGAAGATGAAAATTTTATTTTTACAGAAGCAATATCAAATTTTATAAAGGCCTATACGAATTCAAGACTATTAAATGATGATAATCTTGAGGACAATATTAATTAGCTTAATTCAGAAATAGATTTTATATCTGAAGTTAGATTTTTCAATAGTCATATAGCAGATTTTGATAATAAGAAAGAATTGGATATAGAAATTAGTAATTACAATAAAATAAGTAAATTTTTGAAATAATATATTGTTTTAGATCTT